GCCATCTGTAGGGTCAGGACTTCCTAGAAAACATACACAGACTGCTCCTCCCACAGAGATTAGCATGATACTCACCACCTCTGTCTTTATTCTCTAGCAGTTGGTCATCAATCTTTAATGTCTAGTTGTAACACTCTCCTAACCTTACCTCTTCACCGATTCCCACCTCTTTTGACTCAGAGCCTTCTTACTAACCTCTGGATCTCTCTCTATGCTAAACAGTCTCCTCTACATTCTCAAGCTCTGTCCACTGAATCTGTTCCCTTTGTCTTTGCTTGCACCAATTATCACCCATATAGACAAATTCACTCTGTCGCTCTTTCCACAAGAGGCTGTTTATGCTGCCATGTCCCATGGAGTAGCGTATTCACTCAGGGAGGAGGGGCCCTCCACTCCTCCTCCACACTTCCTGAGAGGCACTCTCTCAGGTGAAATCATCCTGGCTGCCCTCTGTCCACGGTCCCATCAGTCATTCACAGGTGCTATATGTAATCATCCATATAGATGTTTATACCTAACCTATTGAGTTCAATGTCCACGTGAAGATTCATTTGGCACCTTTGCTGTGATGCGTTTTTTGCCTTGAACCCGCCATTTTGTTTAAACCACCCATGAGACACACAACACCCTGATTTTGTATGTGGTGACACAGATTCCTCCACAGCTGGATACTCCTGGATCCCGCTTTCTGCCCACATCTTCACCTTCAGCTCTCTCACTTCCTACCCTTCCTCATATCCCTACTTTGGCAGGAGATCTTTGATCCTTTATTTTGATTCTTTCACTTTCTTCTTATTTTAACTTCTTTTCATACTCAATCTAGACCACTAGGTCTTCATGTCAATCAACCCTTCTGCCAGCCACTCATCCTTAGACCCATATCCTCTGCATCTCAGAGCCACCCCTCAGGGGGATTAAAAAACCCTAAAGCTTTATCAGTTTAAATGTTGCTTTCCTTCATTCTTTCATAAAGCCTAAAAAGTTACACACCTCTCTAGAGTAGTATAAATTTCTACCCTAAAAATTCAGCTGAGGGACCGGGGAGATGGTCAGTAGAATAAACACTTCACTGGCAAGCACAAGGGTCTGAGTTCAATCCCTGGTTCCACAAAAAATAAAAAAAAAGAAAGAAATTCAGCTGTATCTTGTTGCATCTCTATTGCTTGTTATTACTATGAATTATACAATTATATATTAGTATTTATTATGTTTTTGCTTACTACTCAAGCTTCTGCTTTTATTGTCTTATCATTATCCTGGATGTCCACCTGTCTTCCTATATTCCAGGAGAAACAGAAATTAATGGGGATACCCAGTGTCCTCTCTCTGTATTAAGAATGTGTTTGAATGCAATATTATTGCTCTATGTCCCCCTTGCTTTTAACTTTCTCTTGTGCTGGTTTTGTAGCACAGTTACATTCACTTTCCGTTGTTGGTCTGGATGTAATCTCTTGTCTACCCCATCATTAGTTTACCACACTACAGAAATCTTGTTATTGTTTACTACTTGCATATCTTGACATGCTATAAGTTCCATGAAACAGGTAGCTATAGCTTAAGTTACATCACAGAGACAGTGAATGTTTATTATGAAAGATACTTTGTTACAGGAAACAAATCACCATGACAGGAATTCATAAGTGTCTCCTTCCAAGTTTCTTGACATCATAGAGATCATGATACCAAATAGATATAAGCAGCCAATTGCTTTGCAGAAAAGTTCATGTGTTGATGGAATGGATTTCATTATTCACTCATTTTAAGTGAGTTGGGAGGATTCTGGGATCTAAGCAAACTCAACAATATGAAAAATAAGTTTTAGATGAAAATACCCATGTAATAAACTGAATTTTCTTTCTTATATGTGGATTTAAAAAAAATATATAGTATAGTTCTATATGCTTATATGCTGATTGGGTTTCTGCATGTCAATCAGCGTTTTCCCATGAACATATATCCATTCAATTATGATATAATTTTTTCACAGTGAAAAAAACCCATGGTTATTGGAAATGATGAAAATATTGCAAAATCTAGTATGAATAAAGTCACTCAGTCAATAATTCCTAAACCTTAATGTATATATAAGAATAGGTAGATGTTTACATGATCACTAAACATACCTGATACTAACTTATTTTTTTTGTTTTGTTTTATTTTTAACATAATAAAGAGACATAATAAAGTCCAAAGGCATAGGGTACTATGTGGTGTGTTGATCCATGTATATACTGTAATGATTGCATCAGAGTAATTAGCATATCCTTCATCTTAAACATATATGACTGTGTTGGGGTGATTTGGTGTTAGCCCAGGCAGGACAACACGAGAGTCTAGTGCAGCAGTTATTGTATCATCTCTGTACATTTCCCTTCAATCTCCTCATGGCTGCTGTTGAACTGGCGTGATGATTTCTAGCCTTCTGAAACTGTACATGCTTACATTAGTAGGAAACGAGATAATGCAATACAAGAAAGGGAGAGAACATAAGAGGTGGGTTGAAAACAGCATGATCACTAGGTAAAACTCAGGGAAAAGGGGTTGCCTTGGCAACATGACTTATTGTAGAGATTTCCTTGGCTCTAGAGGAGAAGGAATGAATCAGAAAATAGTGATCAGAGGAATCACTTTTGTAATCAGACAGTGAATCATTCTGTTGTGGAAGTCAAGTTATTAATGAACTGAAATTTATTTTCCATTTATACATGGCCCTCTCTAAAGTTCACCTTTACCTTTTTTTTTTTTTTTTTGTGGGGGCGGGACTTGGAATCAAACTCAGGACCTTGTACTTGCCAGGCAGGCACTTGTGTGACTGAGATATATTCCCAGCCCCACAAGTTCATATATCATTTGAAACTTTAGCAGCCTTTTTTGTTTGTTGTTTGTTTGTTTGTTTGTTTGTTTGTTGGTACCAGGGATCAAACTCGGGACCTTGCGCTTGCCCTACAAGCACTTATTCCACTGAGCTATCTCCCTGCCCCTCACCTTTACCTTGGCTAGAGATACACAACACAGGGCTGCTTACCTCGGCGAGGTAGAACTCATCGTACTGCCTTCTGAAGTTTTCTCCCTTGTAGTAATTGCTGGCTGCAACTATCACATCCACAGTCACCATGCTCAGGATGAACATGTGGAAAACTGAGGACCGCATCATTTTCTGGGGAGACAAACATAGTATACTCTTAACAAAGAAATACATCTCAAGATTAAATGTAATTCAAGTGCTGCGACCTCAAGTGACAACTCGAGATACATGGCTGTGCAAAACAGCACCTCAAAGATGGCTTGACAATCAATGTCCCTTGCTGCTGAATAGTGTGCCAAAAGCAGCTTTTTCTTCAAGAAGTCAAAACATGTTGAGGAAGATAGTGTCAGAGACCTTCTCTTAAAAATAAAAACTATACTGTGTTTAGTTTATGTATACTCTGCATCTTAATTTTCAAGGATTGGTTAAGTAGTTTTTATCCTAAATACTGACTATGGAGGAATGAGTTTTTCTTTAAATGCACAAAAAATAATGTTTATTCTGTGCTAATAGAGAAATTTATTGAGGGAGAAAGCATTTTACTGATAGTCATGAAACTGAAATGGTAGGAGAAAGCTAAGATTTATTTATTTATTACTTCCATATATATTTGCCAGAAATTATAATACAACTGATAAGGACTGATGTCTATATGATATTATTATGCACCTACAGCTGTCCTACTACTTTATATATGCTAACTCTAATATTCACCGAGTCACTAAGAAGTTATACCAGTTTTATGGATAAAGAAACCAAGGCTCGAGAGGTTAACTTTTCCATTACAACATGGCATCAAAGGTGAACCCAGGATTTTAACTCAAGCTCAATTCAAGTCTGTTCTCTCCATTGAGATTGAGACAATTAAACATTTCTAAAGTGAATATTGTCACAACAGTTGGGTGTACTGAATACTTACTAAGTCTCAGGCCGCTTGATATGCGTGTTTTATTTTTATCTCTCTTTACTTTTCCCACAGTATTACCTAGTAAGATATTGGATTCATGTCTTACAGAGAACTTGGAGTTCATCTGCTGAAGATCACACACAAGTAACAGTAGAACCTGGCTCTGTACTCATTGAAGGTTGGTCCTGAGATCTTAGCCTGCTGTAGCATAAAGAACATGTAAATGCAGAAAGTAGAGAGTGATGCCCCTGTGCTCCAGGGGGAGAGACCATGGGCAGACTTGAGAACTGGATGCATAGCCATGTGGTGACTACACAGGACCAGGACACCAGACTCCTTTTCCCGGGTCTCACTTTTTGCAGGTACTCATAAACACAGACTCTTATTGCTTGTTCTAACCTGAAAGCTCCTTAGAATTTGCAACTGAAAAAACTGAACTGAAGAGCAGTGTGACTATTGATGAGGATGTTTCAACTGGACTGGATTAGAAACACTGGATTAAAAACACAGATTAGTGAAGCACACTTCCAGGTATGTCTAAAAGGAGTTTCCAGACATGTGGGCCAGCAAACCAAGGAGTGAAGAAGATCCATCCTGACTGTGGGTGGCACAAAGCAATAGGTTTGCAGCTCCAATGAACTGAAAGGGGAAGAAGGAGGAGGGAGCTGGTTTTGTTTTGAAAAATTCCACTCTGAGCATGTGCTTCTTTTGCTGTTATCATCACTGTGGACATTAGACTTCAGCTTCTCCAGCCTTGCAATTTCCTCAGTTTCTTCATATCAGAGACTGAGACTCTCTAGGATCTTTTGGGCCTTTCATCTAGAGCTGATGCTGCATGCTTCATTCTTCTTGTTCTGTGGCTTCCAGTTTCTTAGAAAGAGCTGTGGGGAGTGGCTGAGGCTCGAGATGGGTCACATGCATGTGGCTGGAGCAAGGCTGGCCTGGGAATAAATCAAGCCACACGAACAAGCTGCTCAGTCCACAGAACAGCAAACCCCACAGCAATCCAAGAGCAGGTTGCTAGGAAAAATGGTGTCACAGGACACCCATCTGGAAGCACCTCTTTTCTTCCCTTCTGGAGAGAGGGCTCGCCTGATCCCAGCTTTCTGTGTCTTGTCTTTATTTCCTTACCTTGCCATCTTTCACAGACCTCATCCTGGGAGCCTGCAGAGCTACTCAAAGAGTGACGAAGAGCAGCTACTGGGATGCCCTGGCTTTGCACTGTGCAAAATGCATTCTCTCTAACTCCCACAATAGACACACACAACATATGAACAAAATGAACAAAAGAGCCATCTCCTCTGAGCCCACCACTATCTCCAGGCACCTCTGTGTTTCAGGGTAGCTTCCTTACCACATGCTCTGCATTAACAACATGGGCTGGGCCTGTGGGCTGCAACATGCCCAGAGCTGCAACACCACCACTTATTGATGTTATAGTCCTGGGTAATTCACTTAAACCTTTCTGTGCCTCAATTTTCCCATCTGTATATAGACATTAAGCTGCCTACCCCTAGGGGTCATTATCAATTTTAAATATGTCAACATTTGTGGACAGTGCTTGCATATGACAAGAACTTTATGTTTGCAGAAGAAATGCAGTTCTATGAGATGGGTATTTTTCTGCCATAAGGGAGAAATTAATCACTCAAGGTCAAAGAATTAATCCTATTGTATATCTGAAGGAGTCCAGGACCAAAGGAAATAAATAAGGCTGATAAAATTCTAATAATTTAAGAGCTATTAGAGTCCTTGGAAAAGCTCATTTTTAGTGAGGCTTCCTGTCATTCATGGCCATTTCACTGTTAAATCCACTTTTCCACCTTTTGCTTTATTGCTTTTATTGCTTTTATTGTTAATACAAAGTCACCTTCCACAACTGCTAGTCACCACAGCTGTCTACGTGTCCACTGACTCCCAGGAGCTACTGACCTTCCCAATGTAGATAAACAAATCAGTTGGCACATTTCTATTCTCATTCAAATTTTGATTGTTATTTCGTCTTTCTTTGCATTGTCAGAGTTAAATCCCGTAGCTATTATTCCTTTTCTATACGCTTTTCAATGTAATGTTCTATTAAAAACATTTCAAATGACTTCCATTTTATCTACATGACAGGAAAGCCATAACTTTCTCTTTCTATTTTCCTTAGCTGTGGGTTTGTGTCTTAAGTAAACTGTTATTACTGAAAGGTCCAAACAAAGCTTTTAGCCATGGCTGTCAGAAAAACTTCTAAATTGGTTTTGTAACTGTCACAGCTTCATACTGGTGCTGTCATTGTAATTAGGTTGTTTTTTGTCTGAATGTCTACGTGCTTCTGTTGGTGCAGAGTCATTAAAATAATCACTTACAAGGGTGTTTGATATGCTATAATCACCACCGCTTGGTTGACTTTTTCCAAAGTAATAACTTTTTAAGTATTAAATAAGAATTAAGGTGATAAGCATGTGCAGCAGCTCAATTTAAATATTTAAAGTCAGTAACTCCAGCTTCCATGGTAGAGGCCGTAGTCTGGACCATTTGTACTTGGCTCAAGTCAGTCCATGTTTGAAACCGGCTATCAGTTTCTATGATAGGAAAAGGCTGACCACATTGCATTCTGACACATGTTATACGTACAGGACTGCTCAAATTTGCACATCCAAGTTTTATTTCCTTGCAAAAGTTAATATAAAGGAAAATGCTAAATTTGAATTCATGCCACAAACTATTACACAACTTAGGGTTTCTACAACTGCATTGTTTAATTTAAACCTATAGGGTCTATCCATCTATATAAAGAGATGTACCAAAAACAAAAGAGAGGAGCTGGGGAGATGGCTCAGTGGAACAAGCGCTTCCCTGGCAAATACAAGGGCCTGAGTTCAATCCCCAGTTCTGCAAAAAAAAAAAAAAAAAAGAAGAAGAAGAGAGATGTACATATCCATATATAATATGCATATGTGAATATATATGTATATATAACTGTGTGTGCATATACATCTGTAGTTATATGATTAGTATGACTTTTCTGGCTTTATATATTCATTAGCTAATTTCAAATTACCTTCATCTGTAATGTCACTTTTGTGTAAATTTTAAAAAATTGGGCAGAGGCCAGGGAGATAGCTCGGTGGTATAAGCACCTGCCTGGCAAGTGCAAGGGCCTGGGTTTGATCCCCAGTACCACCTGCCATGCTGGCCTTGCATAGCAAGAGCCTGTACCAAACAAATAAATAAATCTTTAAAAAAAAATTAGGAAAGTTCTAAATATTCTTTCAGTTTGACTTTAACCCAATTACTTCTTATTGGTGCATGTAACCATTGGAATTGCCAATTATGTAAAAGAGACTACAACAGAATCATCCTTGAGGCAGCCAGACCTGCCCGGAATGCTCTAGAGCCTTGCTAGAGTGTGGTCACTGGCCCAGCAGCAGGCTGGGAAGTCTTCAGAACGCCAACGCTCAAGCCCCCTTCCGGACCTATAGAATCCAAATTTGCATGCTAACAATGTTTCCACGTGATTCACGCGCACTTCCAAGTTTGGGAATCACGGCTGCAGATCGTGCCTCTTGAAGAGGAGGATAAATGGGTGGCGTATAAAATCATTTACAGCTTCACACTTTCATGAAGTCTGAAAGACTTAATGAGACTTAATGACTAAGATAAAACATTATAAGTACTGGCTGAAAATTTTTGTGTGAGGGTTTGGGTTTCAATGGTGCCTCAAAATCATATACTAGGGCTTGGTTGCTGGCTTTTAGGCTTTTGGGAAGAGTTTGGATCATGATCTCTCTCTTAATCTCTCTCTCTGTCTCTCTCTCTCTCTCTCTCTCTCTCTCTCTCTCTCTCTCTCTCTCTCTCTCTCTCTCCCTTCATGGCTACTATGAAGTCAACAACTTTCCTCTGCTACTTCTTCCCATCATGACCCATCATGATATTTTTGCTTTCCTTAACCCTAGAAACAATGGTGCTAAATGAGCATAGATTTAAATCTCTAAAGCTGTTAGCTAAAATACACCTTTTTCCCTTTAAGTTAACTTCTCAGGTAGCTTTTCACGGTGATGGACAACTAATGCAATTAGTGTTAGTTATTAGGATGCAGCAACAAAACTGATGGCAAATCCTTCTCCACACAAGATTAAGAATCACCTCAACAAGTTAGACAAAATATGTGTTGCTTTTGCACATGCTTAGGGGCATTATGAAGACGACATAACAGATTCATGAAATTAAGGAAGACAGG